ATTCTCTTTTCATTTTATGAAAATGTAAAAGATAGGCAAGTCTTATATGGTGCTGTAAAGTAAATAAATTACACAGTTGGTCAAAGCTATATCTGAAGAAATAAAATGATGTTATTTTGTATATATACAACCGCTACAAATAATAAAAATGTTATCTGTGTTCCTTCCAAGACTGATATAAATTCCTTATGATAATCAAGTAAGATCAAAGTCCTGTACATGGTAATTAGACACTTGCACTAGGATCACTGACAGGCCAAATGATCTATCTTCCGCACCCCTCTGTACACATCAAAGCCTTTTTATTGAGGGGATGAATATTGGTTCCCCTGCCACCTTAAGATTATGCTTTGGAATCCTAAACTGCTACGTGAGTTTCTATCCAAAGGACTATTTGAAAGATCTTGCACATGCTAAAAAAATACCTAGACCAAATAAATTTAAGAGTGATCTTCTATAAATGAAGGTGGAAAATTCTATCTATATTCACATCATGAGTGATGGACTTGCATGTTGAATTCTCCCATCCTGCTAGTATGTAACATTTATAGATTCTTAATGGGAATCCTAGATAAGATGGGTATGTGTATGTCAAAGGAATAAGATGCTGGCCACCCTGTGACCATGTTCTTGATGATTAACTTTAAGGAATAATTGGATGGCTTGTAACTACTTCTGTGTGCTTTGCAAGCAAATGGATTGCTTTGACATTTTGATCACATCATTCATCTTTTTTTTTTTTTTTTCTGAAGAGCCTATGATTTGTGATTTCTTTAATAGGAGCAGGTTCCTAAGTAATTTCTCCACAGAGTTATGTACTAATTACTTCAAAATTCAGCATTGGTTCGAATTCTGTGGCATGCTAAGAATTTACAAAAATTGCCAAAAATAAATGATGAGGGACCTTTTACTAGCATTTTTTTTAATGAAATGAAGTCATTTATTTATGTTCCAGTTCAATGAAATACTTACTTAATTTGAGCCTATGCTAAAAGGCTTTGCTAATTTTGGATCTGTATACACGTGTATACACATATATCTAAATATCTTTGACATACATTTTCAAAGGATAAAAAAAGATCTTATGTAGTACTTTTGTCATAAATCCCCAAGTGCCTTATAGTTGAGGCCTGTAGCATTATCTTCATTCTACAGTTACTTTGCCTCTTAATTTCCTTCTTAAAAAGTGCATGTTTAGTATTTCTTCAGTACAGACTGGAATTAAAATGGCATTGTAAGGAGAAGGAATGGAAAGAAACTACAAAGTAGAGAAATTTGTAAGGGTTCAGTAGTCTTTGTATTGGAAGGGCTCATGCATGCATGTAGATCTCACCTGTGGACTACTGAATGAAAAGGTTTGATCAGAGTGCAATGGTGATCCAAAGAGAGTATAAAAATACTAGTGTTCCAGGAAAGTATAAGAAATCATTCTGAAGAATACCTTCCATTTCAATAAATAGAAAATAGACTCTCATCTTGAATGCCATCTTCAGTTTGAATCACTGCCCTTCAAATCTAAAATGAAAACAAAATGAAGATGCACAGAAAGAATTAAAGATAGGAAGAGCTGGAAAAGATCACACTGTTTATGTAGATTTATAATCTGACAGTTACGAAGAAGATCATTTTGGAGATTTTGATCTTTCTCAAAATGAAAAAAAAACATCACGGGAAATACTGAATATACTTGAATTGGAAATTTCAATTTTAAAGATCATAGTGAACCTGTGGAGTTTTGGGGGATTTTTTTTAACTTTAGGATTTTTATAAGTAATAAAAACATCTTCTGACCTAGCAGTTCTCTCCAATATGCCAAGCATTTATTGTAGTGGTTAGAAGAAGCTTCCCTAAAAACATTTTATTTTCATGACTTTCTATCAGCTTTTGCAGTTCTTCTATAGCATCTGGTACCAGTCACTGATGAGATAAGATTTCTGAGCAGCTGAATAGCAATCTGATTCATTGTGGCAATTTCAATGATGATGATGATGGTCATTTTCATTTTCTGTTGAAAGCTAAACATTTCCAGTAAGCGGGGGGGAACTTCACAGTAGATATTCAAAAGACTGGGATCATTTATATGGTAGTAAAAGAAAGGGTTACGATGAAGGTTGTGTAACATAATGTTTTATAGAGAACAAATGTGTGCTTCTATTCGTTATTTATTTTAAAATAAGGGGCAGGATTTAGTCTGTGAAAATTGAGATTAAGCATTTTGTACAACTTCACTATATGACAGAAACTAATAACTTTGCAGAACTACAGAAAGAGCTAGTTTGTATTTGTTTGTATTATAGGAATTTAAACAGTATTGATATTAAGTAATCATGTTCCAAGGCAAAA